TGTAAGTGTTGATGTTGGAGTTGATGTCCTGAATTTGCCCTTATGTAGTGTTGATGTTGGAGTTGATGTTTTGATTCTGCCTTTCCAGAACTCTGGTGTGGGTGCTGTAAGTTTTCATGTTGGACTTGATGTTGTGAATGTTGGGAAGTTGGGCCTTCCATTTGTTTGTAACTTTGGTGCCTTGTGAAATCACAGTTTTGGAGTGGATGGGCGGGATGTAAATTTTTCATTTAGTTTCCATTGGATGATATAAACAGAAAGGCGGGTTGCTATAGTTTGGACACGCGTAAAATTGTTTAAATATGAGTAACTCATGTCGGAATCGTGAGCCATGTTCATAAATAGTTCGATTAAGGTAATGGTGCATTTGGCAGAGACGTGAGAAAAAACTGTTCAGTGGATCAAGGTTGAGAAATAGAGATGAGTCCCTGCGAGTCTGGAAAAACAACCAAGTATAGTATACTTTAAAAACAATCCAGTTCAGGTATTTTGTTAGTTGTATCAAGTCCTGCTATCTAATTATGAAATAATTTTGCCTTGGATTGTTGCTGCTTGCCACACAGACACCATGGACAATACTATTTAGTAGGTGCTGGCAGGAAAAAGTCATCAGCAATCACAGTGATGAATGATAAGTAGTGATGCAGAACGTGATGCTGCTTCTTGCTTGACAGGACTCCATTCAGTTGCACCATAGGTTTCAATCAGGGAATGTACGACCATACACCCTGTACATCATTTTCCCCTTGGTACATCAGTATGTCATATCGAGCGGCATTTTACAACAAACACTCACCAATGCAGTCACTTCTTCTAAGACAAGGCATCGTTCCTTGTGTGTTTGCTTCTTTTGACTCACCAAACCCCAACAAAATGAACGCATGGGCTCTGCCTGGCCTTACTTCAGCCCTCCAATATACAGCACTGCAAAATGTAGGGCAATGCAACAAGAACTTTTACAAGTTTGCTTATAGCACTAATGTTGTATCGAGTCAGCAAGCTATGCCAAGTACGCACAAGATCTTTGCATATTAAATATGAATATATATACTCTGTCTTTCAAAGAGTCAACTTGTGCATGTCCCCAAACGGTTTTAAACGGTTTACAGAGAAACCACCAAACGGTTTTAAACGGTTTAGCGGACCTTCTAGTGTCCAACACTATTTAAAACTATTGTAAACTATCTCGAGCTATATCAAACCATTGCATGAATATACCCCCAAACGGTTTTAAACGGTTTGATGGATCCGTCCCAAACGGTCTTAAACGGTTTAATGGATCCTGTAGCAATGTATATACATCTTGGACTTTCAATAGATGGCTGATTTCTGCTCTGGAGATCTTCAGATGCCTATACATCAATCCGTGACCAAAAGGTATACATGACATGACATGATTCATAACTTCACAAGTCATAGACACCATTCAAAAGCTTGAAACTGCTGACGTTGAGCATTTGTATATGGCAACTCGTGGATTGTGAGTTGAGTTTGAACTACTCAATGTCAATTGTTCCTGTTCTAAGTACTCCTACCAGGGAGAAAAAACCGTTTGACTTGACAAGCTTGGACTGGTTCAATGTCCTCTTCTGAGATTTCGGGAGAGCACACAAGCAGGATTCAGGAGGAATTGTCACAACAAACTCAACAAGTCAGAAATCGGAAAAACTACTTTTGCAGGAAATCCCGACCAGGTCCGGAACCGTCTGATAGAGATCGAAAAAGCTCGGGAACTGGGAGGGGACTGCCTGTGAACTGTTCGACACCGATCGTAACCGCGTTCGAAACCGTTTTAAACCGTTTGTGAAACCGTTTTAAACCGTTTGCAGGTACAAAAGGCTCAAAATACTATTGTCCTTTATTTTGTGCGTGTTCGTGTGCGTGTGCTGACACTTGCGATTGCCCTCCGAAATTTCCTCACCAGCGAGGGAAAGCAACCGAGCCAGGAACCACCAAACATCTGGGAGAGCACAAAGGAATCTGACATATGTCAGTCTTTGACACGGGAATGAAGCTCACAGGTCTATCCGTCTACAAAATGATGGACAATAATGGCAAAATACTGGGACATTCATCAGGAAGAGGTTTGGAGACATAATCTACTGTCCAAGAATACAACTTCACTATCATCTATAGATATCTGCAGTATTTCATCGATGCTTATCCTACTGTGGCCGTAGGTCTTGTTCTTTGTATGTCAATCCAATGTGTTTTTTATAGGTTTGGCCCCATATGATACATGTAGTATCATTAATCCCATCGAATGTGTCCTTGTGCAATTAGCATGTCATACCTTGCTTAATGTCATGGTAACGCATAATGACTCTGCATTAGCGGAAGCTGGAAAATGCGTTAGTTGAAAAATGGGCGCTGTGCTTGGCGGTGGCATACTTTACAAGCATAATAAAATATGTGTCTATAGTGTACAATTCATGCTTTCCCCAAGCCAATGAATCATGTTGTGTCGTAGTCTGGAAACATGCATGGTTGATGCAAAAACGCGGTTGTCACATATTTCTGACATTTTGCCAAAATGATACCTGCTTGGCATCACTTCTTCTAGTCAGCCTCAGCCACTAGCGCAGTCTGTCATAGTTCTATCTAGGCGTCTTTGAGTCCGTGGTAAACTATGTGTATATATGATATGTGGCATGTGACGAAATTCAGATGCCCAAATTAATCCATCACGACTGACCACGGAGATGTGTTTTCTTGTTTCAACGGTATCACTTGCGCTCATATAGAATCAAACAGTATCATCTGTGTATTTGCGCCAGCTTCAATTGAAAGCACCAAAGGTTTTGAAAGAGTGGTACCATCGATGCCGCGTCCATTGAAAATTGAAACAGCTACATTGGAAGATGCAGGTTTGCAGCATAGTTCTATCGTTCATATCCATTTGAAGAAGACTTACTTTAAAATAGTCCCTTACTGCAACATACTGCAACAAATGTGAGATAGTTGGATAAACTCATCAAATGATTTTACAACAATACGCGCTTTAGATTTTGAACCAATCAGCATTATACAAACCCAATCAGCATTATACAATTGCTCTCTTGTTGAGCAGGTTGCACATCACATAGTCACCATGTGTAAAATACTATATATTACTATATGTTATATTTAGCAAGTCCTGTTTGCCAAGAAATGCACTTTGTCACCAACTGGGTAATTTGCGTCATTCTTCAATGTTGTGGTTCAAACTATTGCTGTACTGTATCAAGTGCAACCATGTTTAACTTTCAAACATAGTTCGAAACCATACCTTTCCTCATAATGCAAACAGTTTCTTATGATATAATGCCATCCGGACAAGTCATGAGTCATAGTCATGACTCATGAGTGATAGTCAAAACTGGGCCCACGTCATTGCATCATGAACCAACATAACAACAACACAACATAACACAAGACCGGTCAACCAACCATGTTCAGCATTGCATTATCACATCACATAGCTCCACAACACCAATCATAACACACCACATCACAACATAGCTTCACAACACCAATCACAACATCAATTATCACTTCACAAAACTCCACAACATCATTCACAACATCAATTAATACATAACATAGCTCCAAAACATCATTCACAACATCAAATACTACATAACATAGCTCCACAACACCATTCACAACATGAGCAACCACATAGTTTATACATAGTTTATTTGTGTACTGCCTTCCTGAACACAGAACGGCCTTTATAGAGGCCAGTGGCTGAAATAATATATATATATATATGATTGTTTCTTTCAACCTGCTCATGCCAACCTTCGGGCGGAAGCAGTCCACGAGTTTCTGAGCGTGTGGCCTGAGTCGGCAAATGCTCAATCGGCCTGTTTAATTTTTCAAGAGGGCAATAGCACTCATCTTGAATCTGACAACGGAGTAGCTGCTCAGCAATGTTTGGAGAAGCTGCGGAATAGCTGCTGAGCATCAACATCTCAAGGCCGGCCATTCAACCTTTTCTGCTCTGCCAAGCATGTGCTAAGCCCGAATGTAACAGTGTATTGACTGTGTTGAAATCTGCTAGGACATCGCCCTGTGCGACCTGTGAGCATTTGATGTTGCTCAAAAGTAAGAACCAAGGACCCACTGGTTTCAGTTCATGTTTTCTTTTACCAGTGGGGTTGGTACCCTATCTCTGAGCCATCAATATCCACATGAGTTCTAGCAAATTGCCATGGAGACCATGGAAAAGAACTCGCTTCCACTTGAAGGTGAGGTTCGATCACCCCAGAATCAACAGGTGGAAGCATAAAAATCACACTAAAGAATAGAAGGGAGGCCTACTTCGCAAGATTTTCCTTGCAGAAGTGACCTCTTGGAGATTGATTGCACCAGTTGCACAGCCAATTCCGCATCGATTCGATGGAATTCCTCTTTGTATGATGTATGGCATTGATGTGCTGACGCTGGATGTATTCCCGTGATCATCACGATTTGCGGATCGCTCTGTCTTCGGCGGCTATGTTTGCCAGCCGAAAGCTCGCCACACGGAGGTGGGAGGTTTGCCCATGGAGGTGGTAGCTTTGCGCATCTCGTTGATGCACTCCAAGCGATGTTGCTGGTGATCGTCTTTCAAGAACTTTGCCAGTTGCTGGAGGTACATCTCATGTGCCCACCGATTGGGTGCTGCACAAGGATTGTCCCTTGTATAGTGAGTCCAGGACTCAAAGGATTTGCGACATTCTTCCACACTGAATGGCTCCACATGACTTTCGGCGACGGCTTCATCAAAGATGGGTTCTGCATTGCCATGTGGTAAAATATCATCAGGCTGCTGACTGCTTTTGACTTCTTTGGGCTTGAACTGATTGCTAGAGTTGCCAAATAGCGCTCTAGGCAGATCATCCGCCACTGCCACAAATGGCTGTCCTGGACTCGGGCAACACAGGCGAATGCCCTGAAAGGCGTTCGCATCCACCATTCTGGCCAGCAGCTCTGAAAGAGGGCTCGAGCAAAAACTTGAACGGTAATGCATATAGTTAGAGCTGCTGTGAAATTGTTAACATCTGAACAACAATGGTGGATGACTGCTCATGAACACCCACGAACATTAATCGATGCGCATCCGAGTAGCAAAATCTCTGCACCACGGCAAAGATCCTCATCAAGGGCATTCCAGAAATCATCGAGCCTTGGTGAAGATCGGGTCTGAATCTGTTCTCTGAGTGAACACCGGGCACACAACCGACAGAAAGGGAGTGACCACTTGTTTGGGCACCTGCGCTGAGGAGCCAGCTTTCCAAGTAAGGAAGAGACAGCAGTTCAAGATGAGTGGAAAACACCACCACCACAACAACAACAGCCGCCGCCACCACCACGACAACGACAACAAGGAGAAGGACGACAGCGACAAGAGCTGCAAACAACATGCTTTTCCAGTTTCCGTCGTAGGATGTCTTAGGCCTTGCAGCCTCGAGATTTTTGTCATGCCCCTGTCCACCTTGTCTAAGGATTCGGAACTCAGCGCTGTTATGCGTATGAGCACTGTCAGGTAGCATTCGGAGTTTAAAGAACAGTGGAAAACAATCGTTTAAACGAATGGACCTGTTACATCAGTGCATTCTGTGATATACAAGGCCGGCTAAAGCGGCAGTGATACTTATAATTGACAAATGAGTTTTAGCGACTTGCTTGGGACTCGTTATCGGTGCATAGAATGTGTGTGTGTGTGTGGGCTGCAGCCAACTTGGACATGAAGTGTCGCTGACAACGTCGCTCCACGTTGTGCTGCCCAGGGGCTGCTCCTCCTGCAAAAGAGAACCGAATGCTGATCCATCAAAGCGGATATTTCCTTTGAGACATATTCCCTGTCCAGAACCGTTCCTCCGGATTGTATGGTCTTATGATGGACATACATATGCACATTCCTAAGCGAACCCACTGCATTCCATTGTTTTCATCTTCGTTTTCTATTCTCAATGCGTCTGCTAGTGTCAAGTGTCACCAAAAACTCCTGTTCTGGTAGCAAATGGGATCAAACCTTTTCTGGTATCATTAGGTTATTCTGCATTGTGCTAATATGAAAATCATTGAAACATATTAAGCTACTGTAATTAAGCATCTCTGTTTCTAAGCAACAATTGCTTATGAGTGTGAGTATTTGCTGGGATCGGACAAGTGGTCTGACGTAGACAGGAGAAGACTGGGGGGGAGGCGGGAGGGAGTCTCACTTGGACAGCAAAAGGTGAGTGGGGGGTAAGGCCGCAATTTTCTGCAGTGGCAGCGCTGTTCAACAGTCTAGTGAGTGGTGCTGCGAGCGAATGAGCTCTGTCTGAGAGCAGTGGCAGCGGCTGCTTGCCAGCCACGCTGATACCTTGAACCAGCATTTGTATGGCATAAGTCTTGTGAAACATGCATTGCGCAAGAGCATCATAACAGTATATAACCGTTTGCAAACGACACCAAACCGGACCCAGAAAACGGAGAAACACCCGGGAGATTGCAGGACGATTAGGGAACAATAAACAATCATCAAATGAAAAGCTGACAGGAGTGTGTGTGTTTTTCACACAGTAATAGTAATAATAATAGTAACAATAATAATGACATGAGTCAATGCAAAGGAGCGAGAGAGAGAGAGAGAGAGACACTAGCATTACAATCATCATCGATGATGATGTCAATAAACTATATGAAGACAATGTAGCATGTAGAAGGTAGGAGAAAACCACGCGGTGAGAATCGATTTGTGCACCGCAGTTAGCATATATTGAATGTCAATTAGATCTAGGTTTCATTGCTAAAGTGGCTAATTGAGAATGCTCAAGAATTCAGAGTTGGATCCGTGATGATTGATGTTTTGGAACGAACATGCAGTTGTTACACCAAGACCCACTGATTAACGAGCTTCCACATGCTCTTGCATCTATATATATATATATATTGTGTACAGGTGGGGTCGTCCATTTAGCAACGAACCGCTTCTGGGTTTGGCTACCATCCACATCTTCTCGTCAATTTCGGTTCAGTGTCATTTGGTCGCTTGCCCACGTCACCGGCGGGCACATGCCAGCGGTGGTTAAACGGATCAAGAGCAATATCTAGCTAAACGGTTTGCATTTGCAACGCGTTTCAACAGACTCTAAGGTACAGTACAATCCCATGCCAGGATTGAAGATTCAAGATGTCAGGAGATCCAAACATGTTCCTAGTCCTAGACGAGTCAATCAGTCAAGAGCTGCAGCACTGTCAGAGCAAGAGAAGCTCTGTAAAAGAGATTTGAAGGGTTCCAGCTCGGTAGTTGGACCTATATATATATATGTGTTACACACAAATATTAATATACATATACAAGACATGTGCTTGTGAATTCAACATAGTGCACTCCATTGTCAGAACTCTGGTGTCTGTGGCAGCCAGCTAACAGTAGCATCAACCCCTGTGCTTTGAGAAGTCGCTTCCAAAGAAAAGTCGCTCCTCATCTGAGTCGCCAATGAAAAAATGTGTTGTGGCCAAGGACTCCTCACAAACACGAAATCAACCGATCCAGAGCCGACTCCTCATGGTGCAAGAGGTGTGTTAAAAGGATTTTCCTGACTTGTTCAACCTGCTGGAATGGGAAGCATGCGGACATGATCTGTCCTGGTCCTCTGGAATGGGAAGCCAAGTGGATGGTGCACATACAGAGACCTAAAGAAACAGTACAACAACATCAGCCAGCAAAGAAGGATGAGCTGTGAAGTCAGAGTCTTCAGGGGTCAACCTAGTAGCGATGGCCTCCAACCTACTAGGGATGGCCTCCAACCTAAGAGCGCAGTATAATTTGTACAACTGTAAATTGAATAAGCCGGCAATGGATTCTTCACTCAGGATGTCAAGTCCGGGTGCGAGGCCAATTTCTGCACTTGTGCTTGCAGCGATGCACCGTTTTTCTCCATGTCCTGCAACTTTGGATCTGTCTTGTCAAGTCAATTCCCAGAAACAACAGCATTCCATGTTTTCCCTTCGCGCTCCAATCTGTATAAATGTTTTGCGTCGCCACTTATGGGAAGTTCTTATGAGAAGTTCAGTGAGCGGCCAAGCATGACAAAAAACTATGTAAGCTGTAGAACTGTTTCTGCTTCAATCAAACACAACACACACAGCAATCCATCCACCAACTGATATTCTCACGTGAGTCTGAGTCTACACGGGCCTAGTCTAGACTCACCTTTCCCCATGTACTGATGTATCTGCAGACTGCGCGCGTGTTGCCACAGCCCCAAACTGCCAAAACGTCACTGCCGTCTTCTCTCCTCCAGCTGGGCCCAAAGCTCCGATGTGTCGTCACCTGATGTGCTCCGTCACCGGTGACCGGTGTTTTTCTTGTCCGATGTGGAGCGAACCCGAAGACTGAATTGCCTGTGATCCGTTCTCAGCTCTTTTTTGGTGATTGGAACCTCTCCCCAGGTTCAAAAGCAGTGTACAAAGGCAAAGCCTGATGAAGGGGAACGAGATATCATACCAAAGCTCTTACCAAAAACTCGTGCTCTTTCTACATTGCTCCGCTGTTTGTCCATCTTGATTCAGTTCCACACTGGTCCTGGACGCATGACTTGTACTGACACAATATAGGCACTAGAGTGACACAAAGTGATCCAAATTGCTATTCTACTGGTTCTTCTGCAAGCACTGTGGGGTCTCCCTGCACTCGGATTCTTCTCACGCAGGCAAACAGCACGCATTCCCTTTAGGATCGTGCAAACAACACGCCGTTTCGCCCGCACAAGGACCAGAAAGTCAGAAAAGTCAGGAATCGCTCCAAGTCAGCAAAGCAAAGTCTGTCTGTTGAACAAATGTTCAGCTCTTTTTTCCATACTGGTTTCAGCTAGAAGGAAACATCCGTTCGATCCTTTTTTGAACTTCTCAGCTTTCTGTTCCCATGCACTCGGCTAGTGTCAGAATTCACGCATCACAGGCAACAAAAACAACGCCTGTCGTTTGAGGGAGGACTTCGTGACTGATAAACCCATTTGCAGCTTTGATCTTCCAAACGTGTGAACTTCTGAAAGCCATAAACAGCTTCTTCTGCTCCACAAAGCGCTCGAAGCGCTGGGACCGCGCTCGCGCCAACCTCGCTCGGGGCATTTCACGAGGTCCTGCGGAACAGGAAATCCACAAACTCATCGTAGTCCTGGGAGCTGAGCGAAGACGGGGCTGTTGTGGCTGGACAAACAGCCTCAAAACCTGCGCTTTTGGCCAAAAGAGACCCAAAAGTTGCCTTGAACAGCTCAACCCAAGAATTGGGTACCCCAGATTGGAAGCACCTAGAGAAAAATATCAAGGGTGTGGCACCGCGGGCAAACTACACTGACTACACCGACAGGGCTTTTGAAAAAATGAGTCAACGGGACAAGAAGTAGCCGTTGTGGTGCCAAGCCAAACGCCGCTTGTTGGCAGTAGGACTCCATTATAGTCACCGCATCAAGTTACAAGGTTGGAGAAAATCATCTGGACTACTGACCACTATTCATGAGTGCCCAGTCTTCAGGGCGGTTCGTTGCCAATGCCAAGCAGCCATATCCCCATCATCATCGGTGTCCAGGACATCTATCAATGTCCGGATCTCTGAGGGTGCAAGGCCCGTGGAGCTCAGCATCTTTCGCAGCTCCTGGGGTTCACCAGGAAACACTCGCACCCTTGATATTTTTATTGAGAAGCACCGTTCTACTTGCCTTATACCAGCAAGATGTCCTACTGCTCGATAACATATATACATATCAATTGTTGGCCATGTCAATATTTTCCACAGATAGCCCATTTAGCATGCTTGGGCTCAGCACCGCTGATCATACACAAATGTCTGTTCCATTCTGTCCGATCCCAAACCCAAGCAGCTTCCCATGCACACACCATCTTCTTCAAACAAACATGGAATGGCTGAGGACTACCCTTCGCTCCTCTTTGCTCACAACACCGTTGCCGTCCACGTCCCACAGTCTGAAGGTCGCTTTGACCAAATCAGCATCCGTCATGAGGGACTTCTCTAAGGCTCCTGAAGTTGCATGAAGAAAGGGAGCGTGAAGAAAAGGTACCATGAAACTCCATGAACAGGTGAGTCAAGATAATCAAGCATCAAGAAAGGAGCTTTTTGGGTGCATCATCTAAATTCCACTTCAGAATGACCCAACATGGATGGGCAACTTGGATACAATTTACCTTCAATGTCCCAACCGTCAGTCATGGTTGGCTTCTCGTCTCCTGGATTGTTCCTTTCCAACCATTCAACGAACTCGTCGTAGCTCACTCCACCATTCTCATCCGCATCCGCCCTTTCCATCATCTCCCGTCCATCTTCAGCGGACCTCAATTGCGCCACGTCGGTCCGGTGGACCGAACCCAAAGGCGAGACCTGAAGATCTGCATGTTGCGATCTCCAAAAGTCTAAAAAAACCTCTGAGAGGTGATGAGAGGTGATGAGTAGGACTGCACCTTCGTACCGGACATCGTCCGACTCTTCTTTTCCTTCTCCGAAAGACACGTAAACCATCATAAACCTCCCTCCCCGATACGATTGATCGAGAGGCATGGTGTACAGCAGTCGTCGCATCATGTGGCTGATTTCTGGCCGGCCTGAGAAAGCCATCCAAGGATCGACTAAAAGTGAATAACAAAAAATAACTCTGAGAGACATATCACGACATATATATATATATACTTCATCAATCTTCATCATAGGTCTAAAAACCTGACCTTTTAACCCACACTTGTTTGCCACCAGAAGCGCTCAGGCGGCCATTGTTGTTGTAGTCAGCAGCAGCAAACGTGGCCTTCAAGAAGGTCTTTCGCATGTCCTCACAACATGTCTTCGTGTGACTGAGACTCAGGTACTGTATACATATATATATATATATATGTATGTATATAGACCCCCAAACACATAGAAAAAGTAAAATCCCTTTCAACATGTTTTGGACATCCCATCTCTCTCTCTATATATATATATATATCCATTCAAGGACCACGATACTCAATGACCTTGCTTGCCCAGCCTGTTCTACTTGATCATGCTTGATCACTGATATTTATCACCGCTCGACCTAGACAGTCGCATGCCCATTGGAAATAGACAAGCTCCTGCGAGACAGTCGACATGTTGGCTGCCAGCGCAGAAAGCAAACCACCTCCCTGAAGGGGAGTTTCAACCTGGCCAAAACAGAGAAAAAGCAAGAGTCTCTAGACTGAACTATCATCCAGCACAACAATTTGCTGTGCCTAGATGCCCAGAACCAACATTGATTGGTGCATCGGGATGCTCTGGAAAGCTCTTGTGGACAAAGATGTGAGACTGCGTGTGCGGGAAGACCGGAAAAGCTTGTCAAAGCTAGGGTTTGCGTTTCGTGACACCAATGGTATGATGCAATGAGCGGCACCAGAAACAAGGGATGCAAGAGGTGCACTTCTGGAAGTGACCCACATCCCCTAACCATGCTGATCTCCGCACCTTGGCACATGCCTCCGGTGCCAGGTTCAGCAACATGACATTTGCGCGGGACCTACGTGAACACCGATCCCGAGACCGCAAACGTTCGACCTTCGAAGTTTGCATCAATTTGTGCATACACAGAAACAAAGACGCTACTAGTAACAAGAAGCTACTAGTAACAAGTGCACCGCTTCTAGTAACAAGTGCCTTACTAGTAGTAACAAAAAGATACTAGTACATATCTACTAGTAAACAAAAGAGTTTGATTGAAGAAACTCTCAGCATTTGAATCGGCCCTTCTTGTTCTCTTTCGCCTCAGCATGCCGAAGTACCTCTTCAAGTGGTTCTCATGCCTGGGCCGGGTGTTTCTAGCAGCTTCTTGTTACTAATTACTAGTAAGGCACTTGTTACTAGAAGCGATGCACTTGTTACTAGTAGCTTCTTGTTACTAGTGTTTCAGAGTTTCAGTGTCCCCATCACACCTCATTTACCTTGCGAGGCTTCGGCTTTTGGACTGGTCTCACGAGTCCGCCCGACTCGTTCGGTGCAGCCCCGTTCGTAGCGTCCGATCGCTGCATTCGTAGCGATGCCAGGAGCCCCTAGTAGCTTCTTGTTCCTAGTAGTAAGGCCAGGAGCCCCTAGTAGCGTCCTTGCTCCTAGTAGCGATGCCCTTTGCTCCTGGTAGCTTCTTGTCCGCCAAGACACAAAAAGACTCCCTGCTTTGTGAAGCCAACTCGAGTGCCGCCCACCATCACATATCCATGCTGCCTTCGCCTAGCGATGATGGTGCCCCAGCTGACTCCGCTCACGCCAAAAACACTGGTTGGTCTTTCCGAGAACCAGCGAACAGCAACTCATCGTGTGCGTGCTTGCGGTCTTGACTTCAAATTCCATTGTTTACCGTAGCTGTTCACAGGATCTAGAATGCTGTTTTAAGGTACAGATATTGCAACACATGCAAACGCTAGGACTGTGCAGCAAATCTGTCAATTTTAAAGTGGCTTGGTTTATCCAACGTTGCAACAGCTCGTGGGTTAGACCAAGCAACTCATGAAACCCATGCTGCTGGTCCAGGAACACCTTTAGCGACTGCAGCTCTTGACCTTAGTCAGTCAAACAAGGCGTCCCCAAAAAAATCAGGGAAGAATCAACATCGCAGTTTTCAGCTCTATCATGTGACCCTGTCATTGCAAAAGTTGTTGTGAAGCTAAGCGCCAAGCTGTCGGGTCTTCTCCAGGTGTCGCAATCTTCAGCCTGATGGGTCAAACATGCAGCTACAAAATGCGGACACATGCTGCCATATCGATGCGCTTGCTCGACCGCATGCATCAAGTCCTAGAAATCTTCAGAAGACACTCTTTGTTAGATCCACAGCATCTACACCCCCCCACGACAACTCTCAGAAATGGTTAAGTCGTGGCTGTTGGACAGCAAACTTTGCTCTTTTGTCCAGGATCAAGAACATGTCATCATGCAGTGTTGATGCCATCGAACCCATGCTCACTACCTAATCTTGGATTGCTGAAAGTCTGAATGGTAAAGATTGGCAGCGCCACTGCAGGTCACTTCACTGCCTTGCCGACCTCATCGACCTTGCCTGGATCATCACCCCCTCCGTGGTTTCCAAGTCCAACCGGCGCTCGCCGGGCACCAAGAGCACGGATTCCGCCATGGCGAACGACGTGACCGTACACGACTCTCCACCTCTGAAACGTTCGCAGCTTGAGCCAATGTGTGCCAGTGGCGAGCTTAGTGACTGGACCCAAATGAGCAGAGGACAAAATTAATCGTGTAGCCAAATACCATTTGACATGATTATCGTTTTTGGTGGGGTCCATACCGTTCTCCAATGTTTCTCCAAACCGTAGTTAGCATAGCATACCGGCACATAGACTAAAACACAAAATATAACCCACAACCTCAAATTAGAGGCTTACAGTGCTTTCTGCACAGGAATGGCACAGCACTTGATTTATGCACTTGGGTTCTCGTGGCACTGGGCTGTGCAAGGATCACAACACATAAGCGAGGACCTAGTAGCTCGGCCCATGAACAAACACTAGTAATGTGGAGAAGTAGGTTTACGGAGTGCCTGGCGTGACATTTAGGTTATCGTTCGCTTATCGTTTGGACTATCATTTGGGAAGTTGTCTGGGACTATCATTGATGAACAGTTGTGCCCATCGGCTTAGCTCAAAAAGACATGCAAATGCAATAACATATTGTAACCACAAACGTCTTTGCACCCACTACATCTTAACAATATTATCGTTTTTTGGTGGGGACCATATCGTTTTCCACAGAAACAAAGCCCTCAACATAGGTTTAGGATCATGCCGTGACTAAATAAGTCAACCAATATGTTTGTCCGTCGCTCAAACGCAAAAATAGAACTTCTTCAAAGAAACCTGCTTGACTCAAGAACGAACACATCCGATTTGGCATGTGAGTTCAAACACCTCACTCGACGGTCTTCTGGGGCCACCACTTTGCTCCGACTCGGATTTCTCCAGGACCTGGCACCATAAGGGAATGAGTCAGGGTGGATTAACGAGCAAGTGACCAACTGTTAGTTGTTTTGCGTTGTTACTAGTAGCTTCTTGTTACTAGTAGTAATGCCAGGAGCTACCAGCTACTAGTAGCTTCTTGCTACTAGTAGTAAGGTGCCTTGCTACTAGTAACAGTAGCTTCTTGTTACTGGCGGGACACAAAATTGCAAAATGTCGGACACAAAATTGCAAAATATCCCGCAGAGTGTGTCTCTCCCACCTGCACATGCTCCGTGGAGCAATCACTCTGCAGAAGCCCCTTTGGTGAATCCTCCAGTCGAGGCAGAGGCGAATCCAACACTGTGAATCCAACACATCTGATCTTCATCATCTTCATCTCATCGCTCAGAAAGAAAAGAAAAAAAACAAATCTGATGGATCTTGAGGGAACCAAACCTGATCCTCCACATCACAAGTGATCTCAAGAAAGCAACTTATAACTGAGCCTCACATGGCTTCTGGTTCACTACGGACATCATCAAGTCCAGAGCTGCTGCATCATCCCCTTGAAGGGCTGGTGATGCTTGCACTGGTGCTGCTTCAGCCTGTCAGCAAGGTTTAGCAGCGTTTAGCAGTTTGAGAAAGCTTGAACATGTTGGAAAAATTGAGCAACACCGTCTGTGGCGAGAAGACAAACGCCTTTACGTAGAAATGACCCGCTCAGTATGACTCAACCCTTGTGCTTGACCGCCTCAAATGGCTTGCGGTTCATCACCGACAACATTGCGTCCCACGCTGCTGCATCATCTTGCTGCAAAGAGGTGGATTCAGCTGAAATTGGCGCAGGAGCTTCTGCCGCATCCTGACAAATCTCTCTGGGAATGCATCCGGGAAAGACACTTGCCTCGTCCTTTCAAGGAATCAATACCTCAACAGCGCCTCAAACGGCTTGCGGCTCACCACCGACATCATAGCTTCCAAAGCTGCTGCATCATCTTCATGTAGAGCTGACGATGCTGGCTCAGCATTCTCCTATACCAGAAATGTTCTGGATTGCACCAACGAAAAGAGTCACTGTCCGTCCAAACTAAGTTGCGGGTTCAAATACAAGGGAGACAAAGAACCATGCAGCACAACAAATGGAAAACAAACATGTAACTCGCATCTATACATAAGTAGGTAATACTATGTATGTAATTAGACCTTTATGGGATAACGGATCCTTCCATGTTCTTTATGCAGCCTCAGTCAAAGCCAGCCTCAAATGGTTTTCGATTCATTGCAGACATCATTGCATCCCACGCTGCTGCATCATCCCCTTCAAAAGATGCTGCAGGAGTTGAAATTGGCGCAGGAACTTCGGGGGGTGCGTCCTGACAGATCTCAATATTCATGGCATCTTGAGAAATTAGAGCTGCTGAAAGTTTCGACTGCCAGGCCTCAAACGGTTTGCGGTTCATCACCGACAACATTGCGTCCCACGCTGCTGCGTCATCCCCTTCAAAGGATGCTGCAGGAGTTGAAATTGGCTCAGGAACTTCTGCAGGTACATCCTGACAAATATATGTTGCAGTTGCATTCTCCTGAAGCATTGTCCTAAACTTCACCCAGGCCTCGAATGGCTTGCGGTTCATCACCGACATCATAGCTTCCAAAGCTGCTGCATCATCTGCGTTAAAAGCTGCCTGTGGTGCAGGTGTTGGAATTGGAGGCTCAGCAACTGCAGCCTGACGGACAAGAAACCAACGCGTTTTGCGTAGCTTGACGGGTCAAACAAGGATGAATCAATCAACGCCATCAGTTCTGCAGGATGACTGCTATGTTTGAGGGCAACTGATCATCTAGATCATCCAAGTCAGTCCTGCCTCAAAAGGTTTCCTGTTCATCACAGCCATCATGGCTTCCAAAGCTTCTGCATCGTCCCCTTCGAATACTGTAGACATCTGTTGCGCCGGGGCACCAACGTTCACATCCTAAGCATCCAAACGACAAGTCTTTAGTGAGACTACTGGGTGCCATAGAGCTAAACCATATTCAGTTTCTTTTCCTCCATTCTATTCATAGAATGAGGATGCACAGTTTGCCCAAATCCTATCTCCTTGCAGCTCCTGCTGTAATTTGCCGCTGAAGTACAATCTGTGTCTCCTGCGGCTTCTCTCCTGTCATCTCGAGCATCATGGCTTGCCACGCTTTGGCATCTTCATCTTCCTCCACTTGCAGCTGCATGGTACAGTACTTGCATAACAACTGTTGGAAAGAAAAGGAACTGACAAGATTGAAGCTCATGCAAGGAGCAAGCCTTGGCCTATTATAACCTAAATATTTTCTTGCAAATACAACATGTGAGACAAATCAAACCGTTGGAGCTTCCTGTCCCGAGGCTGCTCCCTCTTTTCATGTTTGTGGGCAACTCTAGACTTATAAATTGTGCTTTGCAAATCTGTACCTCCTCAGCAGACTTTTGAAAGTTCATCCGCTGAAACTTCTCGAGCTCTCGCTTCATCCTCACCTTCGGATTCGCGGCAGGTCACAAACAAATGAAACCCCATTCCAATCTTTGAGTCAACTTTCCAAAGCAAACAACGCAAAAGTTTGGCACCTCCTGAGTAATGCGGATCATCTCGCTCTGCGACACAACGTTCCGCACTATTTTCCTGGACTGCCGAACCGTTTTACCAATCTCGTCATTTCAACCACCTACTCACTGCTGCGAAGCGCTATCACACAGCCACTACCTGTGTGCCTGCCTGAGTTTGTTCATGAAAGCCTCGTTCTGGCAATATCGCTCTACCACTGACGGACCTTCATTCCTCGGAGTAAACGGAGCCGATTCACACATTGAGTGATTCTGGCAGTCCCTCCACTTTTCAGTAGGGTCTAATCTGTCAACTGTCAACATAATTCAAAACGAACAGTGGGCATTATTCCCAGCGTTGTCCACACCTTAACAAGGAAACATAGGAAACCGGAAATGAAGGAAACCTGGCCTCAAACACCTTCGAATGTCCTGTGTGCGTAATTGAGGCACTGGATGGACTCTGATGGAACAAACCTCTAAAAGGTGGTTAAAGTCCCAAACATCGTCACAGGTTCTCTCTTTCCTTTTAGCCAAAGTAGAGATGAGCTGTCAGTCCTTCAAGCTTCTCAAAAGGTGTATATATATATATATAGTAATACACAGGGACACACTGCAACTGATAGTCAAATACAGTAAAACAAAAACAAGAAAACATCTTACGCAATAGGTCTTATTGTGCAGGCAACATCAGCCAACAACATTCTCTGGGCGCTCTTCGATGAACACAGCGTGTTTGGCAGAGCTGTGGAACCCTGCGAACAAGTCAAGGCTCTTCAGGTCATCGACCATAGCTCGAATGTCTAAATCCCACTGGACTGCCTCGGTTGTTTTTCGTCTTTCGCAGGTGACTCCCCAGAGTTGAACGGTGGGCCGTCGCCGGAAAAAATTCCGCGCGCCGGGAGAAGCATGTTGGGAGAAGCACGCAGCACTGGAGCTGTTTGGAGAACACATTTTCTTCGCCCTTTCATTGTGAAGATTTGTCTTGGTCCATCATTGGCAGTCAAACTAAAAGCGCACAGGAAGCGGAATCCAGTTCCAAACCCAGAAGCCCACATCAGCACAGGCCCAGGTGGAGGCAAGGCCACTTTCTGCTCCAAGGTAGGCACCAAGGTCGCCTGTCAAAGCCAAGCGTTGCGAAGCACGGGATCTTGCTGTTCGGAAGCACCATATCGCCAAACCAAACATTAAGAGGAACACTAGAGTAGAGAAGAACTGCAAGAACATTTAGTCCGCTCTGAGGCTTTGCTTCAAAAGACAGGCATCACACCCGCATTTCAGTTTCTTTCATAGAGAAAATGATCAAGCCGAGTTGAAGTGACCCTTCCAATAGCCGCCAAGAGACCGAAAATTCAACCTTAGAATCAAAGGCTTTATACAATTCAATAAAAGATGGACGCCAATAGTGGCTACTCAAGCTCAATTGCAAGAATTGGCCTGTCTTTTGCAAGAATGGACGGGACTTCCATCCTGAGTTGTTGGTCGACGAGCCGATCTGCCAAGAAGCTCCCTTGCGCCACAGTCGGAATGCCGACCAAGCATAGTATAGGAGCAGTAGTGCAATCAGCACCAACTGCAAGCCGATGGAGACGATCATCAAATCATGGCCTGACAATCAAGCACATGCTCTGAACGTTTTTGAAGACGTTCTGGGGGATCATTTCACCATGTCACTGCCATTGCACTAGGCATCATTTCACCTTGCATGATGTCGAAATATCTGACCCGAAACAATAAAAGTAACTACCTCCCTGTCATTGTTTGGCCCCAAAAAAACGAGGCGCCAGTGCAGAAATTAATCGATTTTACCAAGTTGCCATTTGCCTTTGAACTGCTCCAAAACAGCTCGTAGCAATGCCCTTTGTTACTAGTAGCGATGCCCTTTGCTCCCTAGTAGCTTCTTGTTCCTAGTAGTAAGGCCAGGAGCTACTAGTAGCGTCCTTGCTCCTAGTAGCGATGCCTTTGTTACTACTTGAAAAACCAGGTCATCAAATGCCACATACCAAATGGCTGCCAAGAGGCAAATCGCGGCGAAAAGCGCCATGGATTCCATGGGCTGGCCGCCGAGAAAATGAAAGCGAATCCTTGGCCAATGGATGTGTGAAAACACAAAAAACGAGTTCTCAACATGATCCCCAAATAAGGATGCAGATTCAACATGCACACGTTTGCATCAAATATATTCAAATCAAGCTGACAACCGGAGGCGTGGCCGACAAACAAGACGAGGCTCGGAAGGACCATGGCTCCACAAAGCGGGAACCAGGTTGAAAAGTCTCGAGCCCTGGTTGCATGGACAGCGGGAGTTCCAAAGAACATCATGAAAACCGCTGAACCACTTCACATGGAAAAGGTCCGCGCTGCAGCTGACGATCTCATTTGGAGTCACAGTTCTGTCGGACCCGTCGGACCCGTCGGACATGAAGGCGAGCGGCCTTGTTCGACTGTTTCGGTGTTCGGTTTTCGCTTTCCGGCATTGAACAATACATATTGTTCAGAGGGAACGATGGCTGTTGGTTTGCATGCTGTTTGCGATACGTCGTCATGCTGCTGCGCTGCAAGACTTCTTTTCGTCATACGTAATTGGGGGTCCCTTCCTTTGTTAAATATTATGCTGTGAAGTATCCATGTTTTTGTGTTTGTCGTGGCATACTTGGAGAGCTGAGATAGATTTCTTATGATTTGTCTCAACACACCAAAAGCTAGCCGACCAATATCGACCAATGCATCAAGATAGACATTTGAAGAGTTCTTTAGATGAGGACAATGAAATAGTTTGTTGCTGTCAAGACTATTCCAAGCGCTTGAAGCCTTTGAAGGCTTCCCAGATCTTCCAAGCCCTCTTTGAAGGGGGAGCAAACAACTAAAGGACCGTCGACATGTGGTGATGTCACCTCAGTCAGTGAGGATTGTGTCATACAGAAGCAGAAAGGTCCCAGTGATGGCTCTCAACCAAGACACATGCACCCCCACCCCAGAGTTTGCCAAGGCCTCATGCTCTTCAAACTTGGCACCAACAACACGAGTTCCTTGTTCAATGACTTCAATCTATGGGTATTGTACAGTACACGAAGGTAACTGATGTCGCAGCACGCAGCTTTGTCCTGAAAATCTGGTTCAAGAATTCTTGGGCCAAGCATCGCTCAGGTGGAGGACAAGAAGTAATTGCTACTATCGGTGTTGGGTGATATTTAATTGTTCGGCCCTGCTTTTTTCAGCCACCCCAAATGACGCGGTCACAGGTGATGTCAGCCGTCGGAAACTGGGTGAGACACTGGCTTCAGCTTTGCAAGGATGCTTCCCGCACTCGATCAAATTGTTTCATGTCGTTTCAACAAATGGAATCCATGCCACTTGTCTTGAAGACTGGACGTTTTTGCCCTTCAGTCAGCTTCCGAGCATGCGAGCACATCAAATCCTTACGGACACGGGAAACCTGACACGGTAAAATTGTCGTGCAAGAGGCTGTGAACATCTTGCTGTCCGGCATTGCTATCGGCATGGTACACCGTGCCCATGCAAAAAGATACTGCCGCTGTCGGAAGTTGTTTCTTTCTGAACATATGCCGATTTTTGAGTTATAATATAATACAATATAATGAAAGCAACACAATAATGGCTCATCTTCTATTCTGAAATCTCCACCAGCTTTGACCTTGTCTGAGATGCTTGGCTTGAGAACAAAAGATGCCGAAATCGACATCCACATGCGAGGCTCAACTGTAGACCACATGCTGCTAATTGCTGCTTGGTGAGCAACACAGGTTGCAAATGCTACAGGCACAGAAAATGTCCTTTTCAATGCCCCAGGAGTCTTTCTTCGCTTCTCGCTAGAGTGTGGAGACCGAAACACTCAGCACTAGGCATTCGAGACTCCAAAAATAAAGAGTTCGAGGCATTCGCCACCTTTGTGAGGCACTAGGCTCGCTGCCAAGACGCCTCCTTTCGTACCAATTCGAGGACACCAATGAATTCCAACCCGTTCGACTTCAGCTTCTTTGGCTGTTCAGTTGGCCAGTTCCCACCTTGCAGTGAAATCAACGCGTCGAGTGTGGCATTTTTTGTCAACGTTTTCGTGTTAACACAAACTGTTGAACATCTGTGCATGGGTGTGAAGGATCAGGTAAGTCTGCACCCCGCTTGCAACGGTTTCAAAGGCTGTCCGAGCCTGGCAAAGCTATTCAACAGTCTCTGGCGCACCTGCAAGCCACTATGGTATGAAGACTTTGCATCAGTTTATCGTAGTTCAGCAAACAATGACCATGACCAAGGCAACTACGGCAACTAACTGTGGTCTAGGGTTGTTCCCTAGCTCTTCATCCATGTAACACAACGCAGGGTCGTCAGGTCAGCCTATTATATAGAACAAATGCAGGTGCGTACGTCGCTCTTGATACAATCCCTGAAGATAAACTAGATTAGATTTAGTCACCTAGTGAAAACATTCATAGGTGGTCTTGGCAAGAAGGGACAACAGCAAGCAAGGCTTCAAAGGGTTGAATGTGCAAGGAATCTTCAATTAAGGGTTCGAGTCACAGCTAGTGGGAAGTGCACATGCATCTGAAGTAGCACAAAGGGCCTACTATATGGCCACATTATGTCGAACAAGTCCATGGCCTTGTTGTAACTCTTGCAAAGAGGCTAACGAACGTCCATGAGTTCATATACCCACAAAGCTTTACTAGAACACATCGAAAGCAGTGCTTGTGGACTTCAGCTGTCCAAATACCCACCTCTAAGGCAAGAAAGTGCTGTAGTAAAACCTGGCAGACTGCGGCAGACATCGGCAGACAGGTCAAAGCCTGTTCTTCGGTTCTTCGGTTCGGGACACCAGTTGCGGCGAATTCAACAACGTCATCAGAAAAGGACAAACGGTGCCTTGAGTGACGGTGTGCCTGCCGCTTTCCTTCCTTTTTTTTGGTGCTCATGCTTATGTTCCTCTTTCCACCAAATTGTCACTCAGCCGCTGTTCCTTGTGGGAATCGACCATTTCTGGCTCCTAGTCTGTCAGCGCAGGACATGCCTACGCATTCTAGCTTGGACATTGACCGGTTCAGAAACCAAGCGATCAGGAAACTACGATTCAGAAACCAACAGGGGGCCATGGGTGGGAACCATGGCCAGGATAATACCGTTCGACGTGGCTGCAAAGGGTTTGGAACTCTATGATCAGGTTGTTTGAGTGACCAAACAACTGAGGTACAAGACATTGCTTTAGGTTACGGAGCCAACGGTTTGGGCTCTCGAATTAGCTTGCGTTACTGAACCCCAGGCTTCTTCCTATAGTGAACGAAAGGTTGTTTGGTTACCGAATCAGCCAGTTGCCGAATCAGCGGTCTTGGTTACCGAATCAGCGGTTTTTGTTACTTTGTTACCGAATCATGGTTCCTGAATCATACCTCTTGGTTGCCGAATCAGACGTCGACCTTGAACTTTCTAGCATCCCCGCTCCATCTCTCCCTCTCTGTCTGTCTGTCTGTCCGTCCGTCCGTCGGTCTGTCTATCCCTCTCTCTCTCTCTCTTTCTTTCAACGAACAAGCATTGCAACAAAAACTGTGCTGGGACCACCGAAGGAAACGATGGCCACAACAGGCACTCGCATCCAAATTGGACCTTGACATCTCTCTGGTCTCTGACCGTGACGGCAAGTTTGAGATTCTGAGTCTGAGAGACCTGCTAAAGGAAAAGTTCAGCATAAAGACAGGGATCCATACAGACCTTGCAGCAATGATCTTTGGCTTCAGCCTCCTACTCACCGTAGACATCCGTAAACACTCCCGCTCCACTGAGCCACCAGGTGAGCTTGAGATCTTCCACTTGATTCTGACGAAACTTTCGCCAACCTGGAAGAACTCAGAGTCTCTCTGATAGCACTCTAACCACAGGAATTCTAGTACATTCTAGTACTAGATAGTTCTAGTATGTTCTAGTTGTTTGTTGTGTGGCATTCACCACACTGCACTGCCTTCAGAAGCTGTGCCGCCCTCGATGAACTCCTTCACCTGGTAGAAGGCCGGGAAGAGTATGAAGGGATGATGCCTCGGAAGCAGGTGGAGGCACAATTCTACGCAACTCAACGTCCAACGGTCTGAGATCCCTGCACGAACTGATCCAAGAACACCTTCAAAACAAGGTCAATCCGAAGTCAGAAGACATGTGAAGCTCTGAAGTGTTTGCCTAGTGCAAAGTGACTGTTTGAATATTTTGGAGTGTCCATTATTTGAAGCCAAGGCGTTTCTTTCTTTGCTAACGGCTAACAACTTCACTTACTTCTTCTTCGAGTAGGTTTTGTGGTGTGCTACAGGCAAAGGTTGTCAGAACCAAAAGATTTGTCTATGCTTTGTCTTGAGATGTCTTGAGCTATTCCCACATTAAGGAGCAAAAGAGTGAGCCGATGCACAACACCAGGAAGAGTTGCAGATTAACAACAAAAGAAACAAACTTCTCATATCACCACCTCACTACGTGTTTGTGGGATAAAACAGGACTAGAAAGGCCCAGGGGCGGTTTGTGGAGCAAAACTAGTCCCGAGATGTTGCATACGTAAAACCCAAGTCCCAATCCTTGAAAAACTATGAAGACTGACCTTTCAAGACATGGCCCCTTGGTCCCTCTTCTCCGCGCCGATCGGCACCTGCTTCAGCACCGTACGCTGTCCCTGGCGATCGGCCAACTTCTCTCGCCAGCTCTTGGCCGCGAAGCTCATGGCGTCCGGGAACCAGCGCCGGGCGAAGAGGTGCACATAGCTTGGCACGAGAAGAAAGTGACGATATGTTTTTACCGTTACACTGCCATAGCACCCTAAACTGAAAGAATGTGGCAAGACAGTGGAGGGAGCTGCTTCTTTGAAGGCAAACGTCGGAAAAGGGGTAGACTCCGGTTCAAGCTAAACAGAAACGCATCAAGCATGCTAAAACTATTTCCGCATCAAACAGGGTGACTGGATGCATGCAGCCATCAATTGCCAAGGTGCACAAAATATTGCACGCCTCCAAGGTAAAGCAAGCCCCACATGAAGAAAATAAAGTTGCGGCGCAGATCGACCTGGCAAGGGCAGGCACCTGGGAAGGCACCTGCAAGCACCTTTGTCGTCCGATTTGGCTTTGGGGTCGTCCCACGCAAAGGTACAAGCAGCTCTTCTGTTCGGAAGCAACACGTGAAGCGCCATTGTAACAGCCTAACGGCCTAGCACTGGGCCACATATCATTTTCACGGACACAAATGAAACAAGAACGCTTCCCCTCGTGGAAGGAGAACAAAACGGGTTGGGCCTGCTCACGCTGCTCCACCACTTTCTGGGCAAAAAAGTCCGAGGCGCAGGTTTTCACAGCTGATACAGCCACGCCAAAAAGGAAGGGTCGTCTCCTCACTGCTGAGCTTCGTTTGGGATTGTACGCGTTTCGGATTTGCTTGAAGTACCAAGTCTCCGTCCTCCCAATCTGAGACAAGAATAGGCCGCCTCGTCTTACAACCATGGCTGCTCGATGATGGAAATGAGTCCCTGCCTGTTACCAGTAGTTGTGGAAGAACATTCGGATCTTGGGGTGTTCGGCCATGTCGTCGCCAGTGTTTGTTGCTCCAACCTGCTGCTCTGCTCTGCCTGGGTTAGGCGCGGCATGTGCAACTTCCTAGCATTCGGGAAAGACCACGTACGCACCCAAATCTCTTGCAAGGCCATCGATGCTGCTCAAGCTCTGCACTTGAACCATGCAAAAACGCCCAGTAAGAAACTCCAGACGCACTGCTGTGCTTAAATTCTACGGGAAAGTCCACTGCTTCGACTGGTACTTTTGCTGAAGCTGCCGAAGCTGCTAAACAGCGACCCCGGGGTTTGTGACTGTGGTCGTTCCTTGAAGCAATCAGGTAGTACGGCAATGATAACTGATTTTGGGGATAACAATTCAAAGCACACAAAAATGCATGTGCGCCGCATCACGGGAAGTAGCAAGCCAATTGTCTCACCATGAAAAGCGTAGGTATACACTTGTCGGACCCTATCTACACAACGTACGCCAACATACGACAGGCTGCAGAAGCCGCTGCACCATTCTTGTGCAACATCACCATCTGACATGAAGACTGCAAGACATGTACAGTACAGATTGTTCTTGCTTCTGCAGCCGTGACAGTATTGAGTTAACAGTGCTCATATCCTCTTGGAGGATCGGCATCACAATTTGAACAAGCTTGCGGCTTGTGCTGACCGATACATTTCAAACAATGCCTTGGTCTACTGACTACGATAGCACAAGGATGACAGCTTTGGTCTCCTTCTCCTTGCAAGGTGCAATGGATGTTTCTTAATTAGACTCAGTCGTAGCGGCGACGGACATGTGGGAAGCCGGGCACCAAGCCAGGAATCCACCCGAAGTGGTTCTGATCTCGTGGCTCATAGAAACCGGGCCCTGGAGTCCGATCTCTGTCCCTTCGTTTCATCCTGGACGTTGCATCCTGGGTCCTGGACCTTCGACGTGAACTTGGATCACCTGGAGATGGTGGAGTAGGTGGAGGATCAGGTAAACACATTGGTGGCACACATGGAGGACCACATAGTGGAGCACACGGTGGTGGATCCAGTGTCTGTAGGAAGCATGGTAGTCTGACATATGGAGGAGTCCGAGCTGGTACACAAAGACTGGGCGCACTTTGCGGAAGTCTCAGAGCCCGTGGCTTCTGTGTAGCCGGTTCATATGCCAGGCATGGTCGCAGAGTCAAAGCTGGTCCCTGCATTGGAAAGGCATGCGGCTGATCTACTTCCACAATAGTCCTCACGACGGTCAAATGTTCCAACTGCGGTGTCATGTCTATGTATGAGTAGAGAACGGGCTGGCATACTCTTCTCATGCCTCTGTCCAAGTTCAAACATGGCAAATCGCCTACCAAATGCTCCAGACTGCCTCGCGCTCCACGGACAATAGGCACTTGTCGAATGATTTCCAGCAAAGGCTCTGGTTGCTGGAAAGCTGGTCTTGCCTGACCGACCGAAGGGGGTGTCCGGAGCGGCGGTTGGCTGTTGCAGGTCCGGAGAGGCTCTTTGCAACAATGCCTGCTGGACACATTTGGGTAGGGTCCCGGTGTTGGCGTCCCCAGTTGAGGCCGGATGACACGCTGGAATGAAGGTGCTGCTGGTTTGATGTCGATGCTTATGTGCCTCACAGGGGCGATTGAGCAAAGCTTCCTTGGATACAAGTCCGGAAAGCCTGCAAGCCTTAAGCAGGAAGACCCTTTCAGGCTCTTGCAGCGGGCTTGAGGAGCTGACTCTGTGAGTGCCTCCACGCAACTGTAAAGGGGAAGGACATAGACTTCTTCAACGGGAAAAGGCAACATGGGTGGATGTGGAATGCACTCTGGTGGTGGTGGCAATGGTGGTGGCACCGGTATAACAATGAACCTTCGCCTCAAGCACCGCCATGCAACCAAAGCAGCAAGAGTCGCAATCAACACCCCAACTGCCGGGCAAACAATGGCAATAGCCAAGTCTGGACAAGCTGTAGTGGTCACAGTCACAGTGCTGCTTGTGGAGGTTGTAAAGGTTCCAGTTGATGATGTGGAGCTGGACCTGGTGATCGTGCTTGTACTGCTGATTGTGCTGGAGGATGTCGATGTGAACGTAGTGCTGGTGGTAGAGGTCTTGGTGGTGGAGGTTTTGCTGGTTGTGGTGATTGTGTGAGATGTTGTAGTGGTGCTGTAGGTAGTGGTTGTCGAAGGGGTCGTGCTTGATGTTGTGCTTTGGGTAGTAGTTGTGGTGGTCGTGGTGGAAGTGGTCGTGATGGAAGTGGTCGTCGAAGGGGTCGTGCTTGATGTTGTGCTTTGGGTAGTAGTTTTGCTGGTTGTGGTGCTGCTGAGCGTAGTGCTTGAAGTAGAAGTGCTTGTTGTGCTTGAGGTCTTTGTTGTGCTTGAAGTGGTCATTGTGCTGGAGGTGCTAATTGTTGTTGAACTTGTTGACGTGATTGTTGTTCTGGTTTTGCTTGTGGAGGTCGTCCTGGACGAGCTCGACGAGCTTGAGGTGGTCCAGGTTGTAGATGTGGTCGTAACATGAAACCTCCACAAATCGCGTGCAACATTGCCATCAGAGTAGCCACCATGTACCCAAAAGGACATGCTCTTGATATCCCAAGCAGCGGCATGATTGAAGCGTCGTGACGGCCCTTGCTGCTCTGTAACTAGATCCCATATCCGTGTCTGTGTGTTGAACTTCCAGAGATCTCGCCGTGCCAACCCGTCGAATCCACCGTGAATCCAAATGGCGAGATTGGTGGGGTCCCAAGCACCGACATGATACGCTCGGCCCGATGGACCACCGTTGGAGATCCAGGTCCAGCGATTCGTGTTAGTGTCGAACTTCAACAAATCTCGGCGCAAGACAGAGCCACTCAAGCCTCAGCGCAGTCTTCAGGCCGCGCAGGTCAACGGCCACCCAGGCCCAACAGCGAGTTGTTTTAGAACAAAAAACACGAAAACGACCTTCCCTTCCGGAATCGCATCAAACCCAGAGGAAAGGCAAAGAGAACCTCTGTCGATTATGATTACTCCGGGGAAACACAACATAGACCAGAGCTCAATTTCAAGTGCGCTTTAACATGGACCACCGGAAACAGTGACTTCCTGGGGAAACGGTATTAGCGCTTTTTTTGGCAATTTCTGGACCCTCACTAACATGGACCGTTCCCACTCTCAGTCTATGATCGTTTTTGACACTAACATGGACCAACTGCAAATCTGACTATAAACTGAACGCAGGCTAACATAGACCGCGCCTTAGAGGTCAACATAGCCCGGTGGAGGCTAACATGGACCCTGCCAAGTACCCGTAGGGCCCACCATGGCATATCTGAATTTGGTCTAGGTTAGTCTCAACGGTGTCCGCTCCGAAACTAGACGAACATATGCCAAAAAAGGAAACATATATGTGTTTGGCGAACGTGTTAGTTTTCACCGGTGTAGTACTTGATTCGGGAAGCTTACTACCCTCAACATTGCAACTACTTGACTTGCCACTGGAGTTGTCAATGCATCTTGTTGGCATATAATATAGGTTGAAGGATCTGCAAGAGTCCAACATGTTTTTTGATTGAATTGTTGTGTTCTTTCCAGCTAAGAGACCTCCATCATATCCACCATGAACCCAAATGGCAGCATTGGTGTCATCCCAAACAGCCACATGATGAGCTCGCGCCGAAGGCGGCTCATTGTCAACCACACGGCTCCAGGACCAGGAAGGTCTGTTGGGAGGAGAGTCGAATCTCCAGAGATCTCCCAGAAGGATGCCATGTCCGTTTTTTCCGCCATGGATCCAAAGCGTGGAACTGGCCGCATCCCACACTGCCACGTGATCGCTTCGGGGACTTGGTCCATACACGGTCTCGTCGGCTTCCAGAGTCCAGCTGTTGCCCGAATACCTCCAGAGATCTCCAAAGAACTTGTTATGGGGTCCGACGGTACCGGTAAACCCACCATGAATCCACAAAGATCGCCTCTCAGGATCCCAAACAGCCACATGGTCTGAACGCGCAGAGGGTCTGTATTGTCGTCGTTGCTGCTTCAGATCCCAAGTTCTGCTTTCAAAATCAAAGGTCCATAGGTCTTCCAGGACTAGCTGTTCATTACCAGCATGGATCCAAAGCTGTTGGCTTGCAGAATCCCAAGCAGCAGCTTGCACAGACCGTCCAACAGGTTGGAAGGGCGAGTTCACGGTTTCATTGATCCACTCAGCAAACACTGTCAGAAAATTGGCAATGCAAAGCGGTAGGCAAAGCCAAAATACCATAGACCTTTGGCCGCTTTCTTGGGCTCTGAGCCGAAAAACTTGCACCGGCCGAATGGCGGCGGACCATAACTGCCTTGATTTACGAATGGTGGACCGTCACTCGTGTTTGTCCGCGTGTAATCCGCGAGTTTTGGGCCAGTCTGGGGGCCTTCACAATTCGACTACGCCGAACAACAAGTGATAGATAGTAAATACTTTACATGCAGGAACGGATCAAACAGGATGGTGACAGGTGACAGAGCGGAGCCGGGATGAACGGGATGACTATGAAATTGGAGATCAAATGGTGAACGCCAGGAAACACGTACACAACCCAAATTTTCATGATGCAAGAGCTTCGAAGCAACCCCATTAGTTGCGTTTCCAAACATTGTGCAAAATGACAAAGGACAGGCATGCCCAGTTCTTGTATGCAAACATCTTTTCAAGAAAAGAGGGATAACCGGGATAACTGCATACTGTAATGGCATAAAACTACAACCGTGCAAGTCCCAAACTTGTTTGCATTGTAAACAATGATTTTCACACCCCAAGAAGGACGCAACAGCCACAACGGGGGCCCCACCACTTGGTTGGAGACGAGTCAAAGAAGCAATTTGTTTCACGAATTGTTGCTGCACACTGCATGAACTCCAAATTGACAAACCTTCAAAGCCTTGTGCAAAAAAGACATCCACATTAAGAAACACAGGAGCCAAATCTTGTGCAAAGAAACGCCCAAAGCCAGCACAGTAAAGACCCCACACATGCCATAAACAGAAGAGGAGTAAAGTCACTTTTCATGGAGAAACGCGACCCAGCAATCAAATGCCAGCCCTACAATGTGAGGCACCGGTCACCATAGAGTTTATGCCAATGGTCTGACGGCAACAGGCTCCTCCATGACTCCTCCGCCGCAAAATTTCTGCCCTGCTCCCCAGCTCTGGCTCGCCAGCTTCGCTCCCTGTTCCTTCTCTGCCTTCCTGCTCCCCGTTCCTTTGTGCTTGGCGGTTTTGAATGATGTTCTTAGGTTCTTTGCCACGTGCCTCGTCGTACGGCGAGCAAAACATATCATATCATCATATCTTAATATATTATAATTGTGAATCTGCAACTATTCGGAATCTGTCTTTTTGTCAACGATATTTGTAATTGTTGTAAACGTCCTTGGAGTTCAGAACGTTGTATGAGGCCTCGCACAGGTCTTGTTCAATACATCGAAAAAAGGAAACAAATAAAAACGACATGATGTCCAGGATTGTTGTGATCTTAGGCCTTCATCTGGCAGTGTATGGGCCACCAGCTCTGCTATCTGCAAGCGAAGCTCTCCTCGATATCAATTCTATTGTCATGGGCTATCGTCGCTCGTCACCAATAGACTTTAGCAGGTAGCTATCTTGCTTTTAGGCAACTGAATACATGCATGAATTGTTTTGCTCAATGCACATTCCCAGGAGCGTTTCGAAGAGTTGTGCATAGAATGCACACGGACACTCTGAGAGCAGTGCGGCATTCTTCCCTCAAAGCAGCTGAGCGGGCCTGCAAGCAGCTCAAATCAAGATCCAGCTAATCCACAGTGATACAGGATATACACCCGCCTCCTCCTCTCGTAATTCTGCCACACGGCTTCTCAATTGAGCTGCCACCTCACCAAAAGAATCAACTCCAAATAAGACTCAAACATCAATGGTTCCCTAAAACGAAGCACGCTCGGTCCTCCTCCAGGTCTTTTGCCCTGACGCCACGCTCCAACACAAACACCTGTCCTTCCAAGTCCTGACGTTCCAATGTGGATTAGACTGGTAGCTTCTTGTTCCTAGTATGTTCCTAGTAGTACAGTAAGGCACCTTGTTACTAGTAGCGATTCCCTTGTTACTAGAAGCTTTTTGCTACTAGTCTCAAAAGTCAAGAGTCCTTCATGTCCTTTTTGAAGCCTACCCCTACGCAGCATCAGACACCTGTCTTGTCTTTACCCCCAAAAGACTCATTGTCACCCTTTCCCAGTGATTCAGCTTCCACTCCTCTATCTCGGCCTTCACTTCTGCCAGTCTTGCCTCCTCGCCCTAACAAATTTGGCCCAATTGGTCCAATCACTGCATTCAAAGGCGTCAAATGGAATGGACCAATGGACCAACGGAAGGATGACAGGAAGAGATGCCCAAGTCCTCTCAGCTCCAGCTAAGGTCCGGACAACTTCTTGAGAGCTATTCCCGGTGCCTCCATCATCATTGCCGGTCCTGGAACCAACAAAATTGAACATGCTAAATCTACACTGAGCAGTGCTGCAACTTGCAAAGCCAAATAAACTGAACTCAGTGGGCCATGCCACTATGCTTTCACCCTCTGTGTAGCGCGCCTCTCTGGGCTGTCCAACGCCTTCTGAAGAGCTGTGACAGCCGCAATCATCAGCGGACATTGACGGAGAACACCAGGCTTTGCAGAGAAGTTGGGAGCGGACACTCCATTTGGGGTCCCAACTCCTTGCAGGGCCTCTAAGGACTCCCGAAATGGCTTCATGAGGTCGCTGACTGCTCGGCACTGGTCTGCCCAGCTTTCCGGCTTTGCGGACTGGGCTGTTTTTGGGTCGACGAGCTGCGCCTCCATGGGAGAATCTTTGCAGAATCTTTGTTCAGCATCGCTCTCCTTCCAATCGATGACTTCAGAGGCCAACAAATCGGACCGATTGGAAGTCATCTCTTTCACTTTGCTCTTCAAGCTCTTCACCTCATCTACTTCACCTACTCCACTTCTCGCCAAGCTCTCTCCGCTTGTCACATTGACCCAGCGCGGGCTTTTGTCTTTCAAACACGAGCCACGCTCCCAGCCCCGTGGTGCCACGCTGGGGCGAAGTTTCTCTGGAGTCGCAGGTGCAGGTGCTGACCATGGAGACCTGCGTGGGCCACGTGGTGTGACACCACTGCTGCGCGCTGCAGTAGTGGTGCGTGTTCCAGGTGACAGAAGTCTCTCGGCAGATGGAGGACCTGCAAGCGGTTGGTCTGGATCGTGGTTACCTCCCTTTTGTTATCTCTTTGTTTTTTTTTTCAAAAATCTGCCCACAGTTGTGAATGGCTTTTTCATTTGGGAACGGAATTGCATTACCTGCTTCCTGAGGTGTGTCTGGAGGGAAGTGTGGTGGGAAAAAAGCACACACACACAAGAAAACAGGAAAAATGCAAAGTTTGGCATCATGTTATTTGGAGATATTTGGAGGTGCTGTCCAACATCTGGTGCGACCGGCGATTGTCGTGAAGCGACCTGTTTTTGACGGCTCTCGGTCTCAATTTGAATCACTCAGGTTCGCAGGCCCACCTCGTTGAAGAACTGGGCTTAGAGGCAGACTGTACTTGCGCTGCTTCATGGCGTTTGACAAAAGGCTGGATTCTACTGCTCTGGTTCTTCTCTATTCTTTCTTTTTGACACTCTGCTCACGGACCAATCATATGCTAAAACTATGTCAATGTATGGCTAAAGACAATGCCAACAGCACAATAGCAAGCCAAAATCTAGTGGAGCAAACCATTTGTCAACAAGTACAGTGCTTGCAAAGCTACACCAATGACCAAACTAGGACACTCTGCATGTCCAGGAGACTGAAGCAAAAAACTGGATCATTCAATCCTTTTGCTTGCGGTCCGTCGATAAGATTTAAACAGGTGTCGGAGCTTCCATTCGCAAATGCGCTGCGAAGGAAGCTCCTGAGGAGGCACTGGAAGAGGACAGAAAAAATAGTAAAAGGCAGAAACAGCACATATAAAAAGTCATGCTCAGGTGCAGCCTTCTCCCAGTAGCTTGGACTGTGCTACAAAATAGATTGTTGGATCGCCACTTCCTTGGGTTTTTCAGCGTTCAGCGTTCAGCTAACCTATCCAAAGCTTTTTCGGAAAGGTTTCCCTGGAACGCCACTTCACAAAAAGAGTGGCTCTTCTCATGTTACTAGTAGCTTCTTGTTGCTACTAGTAAGGCACCTGTTACTAGTAGCGAGGCACTTGTTACTAGTAGCTTCTTGTTACTACTAGTAATGCCAGGAGCTCTTCTCATGATGCTACATACATCGGACAAGTGACCACCAACGGTCTGTGGGAATCCAACACATCCAACGGTTCGTCCGACTGTGCGCACACACTCAGTGCACTCGAATGCGTTCTGGTGCCTGCCAATGGAAGGCTCTAAAACATATGCCCTACACACCGAAGCCGTTGAAAAAACAACAAGAAGTCTTCAAAACCAGAGTAGAATGCAACATGCAAAGAACATCAACCTTTGCTTTTTCAGCAATGCCCTTGAATGTGTCGATGCTGCCTTTTGGGGCTTCCAGGTCACCTCCTGCAGAAGCAAAAAGAATACACTGCTTCCATGTGGAAGCACCCTGCACCAAAGGTTTGCTGGGCTCCAGCTAGCGAAAGGTACTGTTGAATACGCTCAATACTACGCTCAATAACTCGGAAGCTCAATGATGAGGCCATCAAGCTGGCCCTTCTGACTTTATAGCTAAAACATGCTAAAACCCCGACGAACGCAGGCGTTTCGTGGAACCAGTCCGGCAGCATTTCAATAGCTCTTCCAGGCCTCAGTCCACCAAGGTGCACAAGAAGTGAGCCGCCAGATACTAAGTCATTGAAAGAGCTGTGTAACAAAGCTTGGTATTGTTGACAGACTCAATTAGCAGTTGGCAAGTTAGTGAAATGTTGCACGAAACAAACACGTACTTCCAGGCAAGAGTTCCATCTTCCATCTCCCCAAACTGCAAAGGCTTGCAGCCGCAACTTTTCTGGCCAGGCTTTACACCGCGCGACCACCAAGCAGTCTTGGCTTGGTGGAGTTGGGAAACAACGCCAGCATTTTGGTTTCCTTTCATTTGGGGTGAGCTATGTTATCTTGTTAGGACACAAGGACAGGCATGGCATGGCACACTGCAGAAGGTTGGGGTTAAAGTACAGTTGGAATCTTAATTGTTTTGGGCCTACTGGAGCAGACACATTTGGTTTGGAAAGAGGTGGATGTTAGGGAGGATGTCTTCCTGACTTGTGCAAGCTGAAAACGGACTTCACTCCTCCTGTGTTGTCTTGCCAAAAGTGAGGAGCGGTCTGCAGCAAGTCTAGGATGAATTCAGAAGCCAGCAACAAAAGGTACTGCTGTGGCCTTCAAAAGTCATGCAAGTTGAAGTCGCTACAGCCACACAGAAAGTCTGTAGAACTTTGTACCTCAACTCAGCAGAATGTCAAAAACATTTGTTGACATGGGACCATTGGCAACTTTGCTCTCAATCTCCTCCCACAAGTCAATAACGCTCCTGGCATCAGGAATGTCTTGCGAGCCCTCCAGTGTTCTGCTATTGCCTCATAAAATCCATCTGATTTCAATGCAATTCGCACTTAATTATATACTACAATGCTTTTGTTTTTTGACACATAGCATGCCCATGTCTTAATTTGTAGCAGTCGCAACACCCCTTCCTGAGTGTATGAAATCCCTGTTTAAATATCATCTAAGGCAATAAACAAAGGATAAGCACTAGAACGACGCAAATGATCTCGACGCAAATGCACTGAGCCTCACAAGAACAAGCGAATTCATCCAAACAGTCCTTGATCCATAGGCGGCAACTATGTCTGAAATACCCTGAAAATTAAAGTCAAATGGGAGACCGACCAGCAAAGGACAAACTCTTGAAGTACATCATGGAGCTGAGATGGACTTACAAACAGTCAGCAAAGCAATCTCAATCGAAGCACCTTGGCCCCGCAAATGCTTGCGTCTGGGACACAGGGACGCCAGTTGAAATAAGCATTGTCCGGCATCCAATACCTCAGCTGAAATCTCTTGGGCTTTAGGTTTTATCCAATGTTTGTTGTGGTGTAGTTCTTACTATCAAAGCCCAGAGCTGTGTGAAATCACATGCATGATAGTTTGACTAGGTCTCTGGTTCTGCAGTTCAAGTTTTCGGTTCTCAGCAAAAAGACTCGATCCACTGTAGAATGTACCACGATAGATAGCTGATAGTGCTTTGGCGTACAAGTAGATCCTGCTTGCTGGCACAAGCCAGACCACCATCTACTTTGCTGGCAAGTAGTTGAACTTGAAAGGTAACCACTAAAAAAAATACAGTGGATATTGTTGACAATCACAATTACACCCGAGCCCTGTTCTTGGAGTGGTTACAATGGGGTGTATATAACCCAGGGATTATAGATGGGCTCCTGCCTTATGCAAAACTACATGTCCACACTGGTTTTAGCCAAAAGACGCACTTGCTGGTGGGTCAGGATCTGCGCATCGACGAAGACATTCTTGGCAGGCTGCACCAGGAAGGATGTAGCATTGGTTGCCAGGATTCTCAGTGAAGTCGGAGTAAACGTAGTAGTCCTTGGAAATCATGGGTGATGGCACGTTGCCACATCTTGTATGACCAGACGATATAATCACCTAGGATTTTGCAACCCTGCGCTGAGGAAAGTGTCCAAAGGTAGAGTGCCCCAAGTAGTTGCAGCCAACGCCTTACAAGTGAGGGCTCAGAAGTCCTTGCAAATTCCTCCCTGCATGCATGATGCATTTCGTACTGACTAAATGTCTATATAATAATACAAATATAAATATAAATATATATATTATATACATGACTTTCTGAGCTTGTGAAGTGTCTGCGCCCCTGCCTGGCCCAACCATACAGCCAGAAATCCCAGTTGTGAGTCGCCCCACCTGAGAAACATTGAACGAAATGATCCGCTTCTGATTTTTCCACAACACCTCCGCACTGTCACGTAGACTACAATGACTACAAGATCCATCATATCTGCATCCAAACCGCCATAGCCCTGCCAGCCATGGTCCAGCACCCACAGAAGAGACCAATGCTTTCAAGGCGGGCTGCACGTCCTCTGCAATAAACCGTGCAAAGCAAGACATTCCAAAGAACTTCGATACTATTGCAAAGATATAGCATGTTTGCTCAGTGCCAGCATACTTCCTCCCAGCCTGGCCTCATCGTAAGAAGTTAGTGCCAATGACCTGTACCATGCGCGCACCTGCTGACAGAACACTAAATCAAGCCAAACAAGGAAATCGACGTCACAATCTCAACACAGCGCGAACACCTGCTTCTCAAAGGACGCCTTTCCCTGGCCCATATCTCTTTGTGCAGGTAATCGATTCGTACGAGCCAGGTGAAGGTTTGGCATGGTCTCATCAAAAAAGCCTTGACTCTCGCTCATGAAGACGACAAATGGCCTGTTCAAAACAAAGCAACCTCTGAGGCGCAGTCGTTCAAGTTATTGCAGGTGATGGCAATGAAGGAGCTTAAGGTATATTGAAAACTATGGCAACTGAGGCATGTTGTTTCTCCTGCCTTGAAGAGCTGATCTTGACATTGGCACCTGCTAGTGGAACCTCCACAAGATCATTGTCCAAAGGGACATCCGCTAGTTCCATGGGCGAGTCAAACCTTGCAGTGCCATCTAGGGTCTTGAAGAAGTTCCTCGCTCCCAGGATCCACAAAGGCTGCCGGACTTGGGGAAATGGATGGCTTTCCGAGAGGAAGTACGCCAAAACGGTGACCTCCGGGAAGTAAACGGACAAGCGCTCGTCCTGACCACCACCCAGACCACAGGCTCCAGCATCAAAAAGGTAGCCACCAAACCAAGATGCTGAAATGTCCTGGGTCGCCTGGCCTGCTAGACCACCAGTCATGAAATCCACTCCAACAGCATCCTGGGGACGGGCCTGGCATCCAGAGGTCGGCACTGTCTCCAGGTGTTCATAAGCACCTGCAACTGCTCCAGTATCGTAATCACAGACCCGAAGACCAGCACTGGTCAATGGAACAGCTTCACCCTTGGCCTTCTCCCGAACCGCCTCCACTGATGGGGCCACCTTGGCCTTTGCGGCCAAGAGGATTGGACCTTGGCCACCATTCGCCAAGGTGGGATCGGCATAGCAGGCCGCCAGAAGACTTGCGAAGGCCTTCCGGAAGTCGCCGGTCGTTTTGCACATCTTCATCAACCTCCGAAGTCCACTTTGGTATCCGGGCGTCTTGGAGCCCAAAAAGGCTTTGGCGGTGATATGGCAAACCTGTCGGCGAGAATAGGCCACCCATCCACCATGACCCAATTGGTCATCGTCCTCTTCTGGCCAAGGTACAAGAACTCCAGGTTCACCGAAGGGAGTCTCGGACTGAAAAACTTCCAACCATGCTGCCACCTCATCGACTGATCCCAAGGATCCAAAGGGATTGGCATTCTCAAAAGGTGCGCCTTAGCCAGATCGAGGTCCCTCTGAAAGGATGCAGATGCTTCTCCTGCCCACCACTGTCTTGACCAGGTATGACTCATACCGATACCCATATGGGTGCTGCCAAGTTTCTCAACGCCTGTTTGATCTGCCAAAGCTTTGTGTTGGTCGGCGTCCACCGAAAGAGCTTGGACTCCTCACCATCGGCAAGGTGAGGAGCAAAGACGCAGTAGAACTGTGTTAACTTTGTTCAGCTATTCAGCCTTGTTGGACATGTAGGCACCGCCCAAAGACTTTGCTGGGAAGCGCTTTTTGGCCTGGCAGGTTGACTCCAGGAGAGATGTGGTCAGAACCTATGGACCTATGGAATCTCTGCATTCAGCTGCTCCACTCTGTTGCTGTGCCTGTGTAAGGTTGGGCTCTTGCAGCAGCTGTAAGGAGTCGTCGCACTCATCTGGGCTTGATTGAAAAGAAGCAGAAAAAGGCCACTAAGAACTTGGGCATCTCCTTGTTACACAGAGTACAAAGTTGCACAAGGCTTACATTTGTCCAGACTTTGCCAAAACGGGAGATTCAACATGATCCTAAACTCACCTGGTGCACCGTTCAGTTCCCCGAGCGCCAGGTTCAGTGCCACGAAGGCTGAAAGGCCTGACGTTGGAACCGAGAAGACGAAGGAAGCACCAAGAATCACCGGCGCTATCACTGGCCATTCGATTGGAAGTACCCAACAAAAAACAGCAGAAGCAAATAGAAACGCGTTCACGCCTATTTGTGCCCACATCATCAGGATGAAGAGAGGTACTTCACTTCTCGAATGCTTTGAGGCTGCGGGTCAAAAGCCAGGTACAATGTCCGCTGTGCTACATTCGATACGTGTGAAGTCTAGTCTTTCTATCTAATTAGAGGACTCCGCCGCTACCCAAAGTCTTAAAAAGCTGCGCGCCTCAAACCTTTTCTCATGTCGTTCTGCCTTGATGGTACAAATGAGCGAGTCACAGTTCTCCTCACCCACTACATCTCTTGCGTCACTTTGGATGATAGGGCCCCATCCATGAAGCAAACTGGCGGAGCCAGCAACTCCATATAACTCCACGATTCGAGCTACTGCTGCATGGAAAAGCGCAAAGCACTGTGTCAAAGCGCATGCAGCGTTGGAGCAAACTCGCAAAAAACAGCATGTTGATCGCTTCTGAAGCGGTGGAAAAGGTTGACACAAAACGATGCCTAATCTGCGAAGAATGTCAAACTCCTTCGAAATCGTTTGTTGCTGTTGCTTTTCTCTCTTTGGCTTCGGCCTCCTGAAGCGCTTGAAATCTGCACTTGACTGAAATCCCCCAAGT